CGGGGAGAGGGATTGGGGTCCCTGAGGATTGGGGTTGGGATTGGGATTGGGATTGGGATCCCTCAGGATTGGGGTTGGGGTTCGGGTTTGAATCCCTAAGGATTGGGATTGGGATTGGGAAAGAGATTGAGATTGGGATTGAGATTGGAATCCCTCAAGATTGGGATTGGGATTGGAATCGGAATCGATTGAGATTGGGATTGGGATTGGGGTTGGAATTGATTCGGATTGGGAATGGGGTTGGTATCCCTAAGGATTGGGATTGGGATTGGAATCCATTGGGATTGGGATTGGGATTGGGGTTGGAATAGATTGAGATTGGGATTGGGATTGTGATTGGGGTTGGTATCCCTAAGGATTGGGATTGGGATTGGAATCGGAATCGATTTGGATTGGGATTGGGATTGGAATTGATTGGGATTGGGATTACGATTGGGGATGGTATTCCTAAGGATTGGGATTGGGATTGGGGTTGGTATCCCTAAGGATTGGGATTGGGGTTGGGATTGGAATCACTTGGGATTGGGGTTGGGAATGGAATCCCTCAGGATAGGGATTAGGGTTGGAATCCCTCAGGGTTGGGATTGGGATTGGAATCGGAATCGATTTGGATTGGGAATGGGATCGGGGTTGGGATCGGGATCGGGGTTGGAATCGATTCGGATTGGGATTGGGGTTGGTATCCCTATGGATTTGGATTGGGATTGGAATCCCTCAGGAGCGGGATTGGGATTGGGGTTGGGGTTGGAATCGATTGGGATTGGGATTGGGATTGGGGTTGGTATCCCTCAGGATTGGTATTGGGGTTGGAATCCATTAGGATTGGGATTGGAATCGGAATCGATTGAGATTGGGATTGGGATCGGGATTGGGATTGGGGTTGGTGTCCCTATGGATTTGGATTGGGATTGGAATCCCTCAGGATCGGGATTGGGATTGGGGTTGGAATTGATTGGGATTGGGTTTGGGATTGGGGTTGGTATCCCTAAGGATTGGGATTGGGGTTGGAATCGGAATCGATTGAGATTGGGAATGGGATCGGGATTGGGGTTGGGATTGGGGTTGGGGTTGGGATTGGGGTTGGAATTCCTCATGATTTGGACTGGGATTGGAATCGGGATTGGGATTGAGGTAGGGATTGGGATTGGGATTGGGGTTAGGATTTGAATTGGGGTTGGGACTGGAATCCCTAAGGATTGGGATTGGGAAGGAGATTGAGATAGGGACTGAGATTGGAATCTCTCAAGATTGGGATTGGGATTGGAATCCCTCAGGGTTGGGATTGGGATTGGAATCGGAATCAATTGGGTTTGGGATTGGGATTGGGACTGGAATCCCTCGGGATTGGGGTTGGGTTTGGGGTTGGTGTTGGGATTGGGGTTGGGATTGGGAGTGGGGTTGGGGTTGGGATTTGGATTGGAATTGGAATTCCTTGGGATTGGGATTGGGATTGGGATCTGGACTGGGATTGGGATTAGGATTGGTATTGGGTTGGGATAGGGATTGGGTTTGGAATCCCTCGGGATTGGGATTGGGGTTGGGGTTGGGATTGGGATTGGAAACCCTTGGGATTGGGATCGGGATAGGGAATAAGATTTGAATCCCTTAGGATTGGGATTGGGATCAAGATTGGGGTTGGGGTTGGGATTAGGGCTGGGATCGGGATGGTGATGGGGATTAGGACTGGGATGGGGATTTGGATTGGGGTTGGGATCAGGATTGGGATTTGGATCAGGATTGGGATTTGGGTGGGTATTTGGATTGGGATCGGGATCAGAATTGGAATTAGAATTGGAATTAGGACTAGGATTAGGATCAGGATTGGGATTGGGATTGGGATTGAGGGGCAGAGGGGATCCCATCCGGATCCACACCTCCGGAGATCTCCCGCCATCCCTCGGGATCGGGATCGGGATCGGGCTCCACTCCCGGCTCCCCCCCAGGGCGCGCGGGGCCGAGCGGGATCCGGGTGGAATTCGGGGAATTGTCCTTCCACTTCCGCTCCTACGGGGACCTGAGCGAGGGGGAGCTCGACTCCCTCTGCCACTTCCTGCTCCGGCGCGTCAAATCCCGGGAAAAGGCCGCCCTGCGCCAGCTCCGGGCCTGCTTCCGGGCATTCCAGAGGTGAGGAAATCCACCCCTGGCCATGTGTTCCTGCCCCGATTTCCCTGGAATGCTGGGAAAGGGACGGGAAGCTGACGGGGTGGGATCAGCGTGGCATTCCAGAGGGGAGGGAAAACCTGGAATGCTGGGAAAGGGCGGGAAGTTGATGGTGTGGGATCAGCGTGGCATTCCAGAGGGGA